TTTAGGTATGGGATCTAATTGAACACACACTTCTTGCTTGTATTCGACCAAAAGTTCACAAAATACGTGGAGATCTACAAGCTGTCTCTTACAATCATCATACACATTCTATTCTCTTTGTTGCAAGTGAACAAATTTCATTTCTTAATCTCAAACTACGGTCAGTCCTCCCCTCTCTTCTCCTCTCCTCTCTTTCATCTCAGTCTCCTCCCTTCTCTTCAGACCATATCTTCATGCTGATGTTGTTGTTTCACATTATGAACCCATTCTCGGTCTGCTCTTCATCAAAGAGTTCAAACAAGTGGTTTCATGTACTGAAAATGGCGTTGTTCGTCTGTGGGATCTTCTCACAGGAAAAAAAGTTCACGAATTTCAGGCTCATCAAGGTCAAGCCATCACTTGTATGACATTAGACACAACTGAACGACGACTAGTCACCGGAAGTCGAGATGGATCATGTGCCATCTGGAATGTTCATAATGGTCAACTTCTCAAAATATTCAAAAGACCTCATGGTTTCTGCTCTTTATCTCCATTCCTTCCACATTCTCCTTTCTTCTTCTTCTTCTTCTTCTTTAGATGCACTCGAAGTCACGGCTGTCGCCTTTGTTGTAGTCAACAACAACTGTTCGATCTTGGCTGTTGGATGGGATAGACATGTGAATGTTTTCAACGATGATCAAGAACAGATCAAACAGATTTGTTATCCCGATGATGAGTTTTGCAAAGGTGATGATGTTCATCATGGTCATTTTCATGATATTCTGTGTGTCGATAAATCACAAGGTGATCTGATTGCTACGGGTGATTATGGTGGAATAATTATTGTGTCAAATCTATCAAGCAAGAAGATATTTGTCACTCTCAAAGATAATCAACATCGAAATGAAGATGAAGGTGAGAGAAGAGAAGAGAAGAGAGAGGAGAGGAGAGGAGAAAAGACGTTTGTGTTATAGTCAATCCAAATGATCGAGCGGTGAATCGTGTGATATTTATTGATTCGAGATTCGGTCGACATGGTGCAGCGAATTTGATCAGTAGTGGTCCATTTGGTGAAATTCATTTTTGGAATATTTATAGGAATGGAGTTCTTATGGGCAAATTTCGACCAGTGAGTGAAAATCTTTCTTGATTTATTCATTCAAATGAGTCTCATTGTTTATAGAATAGAGAAAGAAAGAGTACAGTAACACAAATCAAACTCGATTCCATGTGTCGTTTGTTGTTTGCTGCTGATTCATTAGGTAGTTCACCAAGTCATCTTTGAAATAGTTTCTTTTATCAATTGTTGATGTGTAGGTTTTCTATTTATTTATGAAATAGAAAGATATGCACTTCATCCCGAGTCCAGTCCACCTCGTTGTAAGTTCCACATTTATCATGAACATGGATGAAAATCATTCATCTATGTTTTCAGGTTTGAGAAGTTGGCGAGGTCATGTAGATAGTGTCACTGGTCTTGAGTATATCGAACAAGGTAAATATACACATATATATGTATGTGATGTAACCGACTCATCATTGATGTTTTTGTTTAGCTCAAGTGATTATCACTTCTTCACTTGATTGGACCATTCGATTATGGAATTTACATGGCTTCTTCATTGGTAACTCACCCTCTTTCTCTTTCTCTTTCTCTCTCTACTGTCATAATCAATGTGAACAGGTACATTTGGTCAATCGATTCCATGGAACTTGTATGATCCTGCTACATATCAACATCCATCAGTTCCACTCGATGTTCTCACTGATCCAAAAAGTCTACCGAAAAAGACACTTCCGGACGATGGAGAAGAAGAAGCAGACGAAGAAGAGGAGAAGAAAAAGAAAAAGACAACAGCAGTGACATCGGTAAGAGCGAAAGAGAATTGTTGAAAAGAGATGAATATCGAAGAATGACTTAGACAACAACTAATACATTTAAAAATATGATGATTGATGATGAGACAATTGCCAATAATGTTCATGAAACACTGAACAAAGTGCGTGAAGTTCAATCAGCTGGTTTAGCTGGTAAAAGGTGAGTTGATGTTGATTTGAGTTTCGAAATGATAAGAAAATTTTATTGATGAATAGACTTCGATATTTTCATGATAAACCAAATGTTTCACTTCGTCGTGATGGTTCGAGTTATTATCAACATTTGCGTTGTTATACGATTGATGACAATCCACCAACAANATGTTCATGAAACACTGAACAAAGTGCGTGAAGTTCAATCAGCTGGTTTAGCTGGTAAAAGGTGAGTTGATGTTGATTTGAGTTTCGAAATGATAAGAAAATTTTATTGATGAATAGACTTCGATATTTTCATGATAAACCAAATGTTTCACTTCGTCGTGATGGTTCGAGTTATTATCAACATTTGCGTTGTTATACGATTGATGACAATCCACCAACAACGTCAACATCAACAAACGACAACACGATGCATTTGGCTAACTCAGTCAAATCATAAAAAAACGCACCCAAATATTTTTATTTTGCTCATTTCTGAAATATACTTTGCTCTTTTTCTGTATAAATACTGATAATTCCTGAAAGCAAACGTACTTCTTCAAGTTTGAGTGGATGAAAACAAGGGTGAAAGTTCACATAAGAGTGAAGAAACCTCATATCACGTTAACATTGACAATCAAAACGCAAAGGCATTTTGTACATAAAATCTTACCTTCTTATAGCGATCGTTTCGTCAATAATTTCTAAAAGAAAAGTTAATTTTAATTTGTTGGCTGATAATCCAAAATATACTTGATTTATCGTACCTTGATTTTGATCATAGAAGAAAAAAGAAACTGTCATTTGATTCTGTCCCTATGACAAACAATGAATAAAATTCTTTTTTTTATTTTCTTGACAAATGAAACGAGAACGATAACCTATTTCTTACGAAACATTTCAAAGGTTTGTGTATGCTGATATTCGATACAAACACACTTGGCAACCATCGATGCATCGAAATATTTATTCTCTTAAATCAACATATGAATAGACTCACTCGAATACTGTCTCCAATAGTTGCGATTCCTTCAAAAGAAAAAGAACAATTCAATACTTTTTCAGATGAGTTTCTTTATTGTGTAAAAAATTTGCTTTCGGAATTTCTAAGCTATCGATAGGTAAATAAATCATTTCGGCTTTATTTCAACTCACTATAAACACGACACGTGTATCGATTGATGTTATGTCAATCAGCATAAAACTTATTATTTGAACTACACTGGTCAATTATGACCGTTTTATAGACACTTTGTATGCACGATTTATATTGCGCGATGCATTATTATCATTCAAATTTCTATGAAGAACAGATTTTATTGTTTGGAAGTGCCAACTACGTATAAATAGCAATGTTGGAAACACAACTGACAGTTGGTTTGGGATTATCTGCTTATATTCAATTTGATTCTTGGTTAGTTTCATGAATATTATGTAGAATTTATATCTTATAAAGTTGAAATTATAAATATCGAAGTGCTTTTCTGCGTTGCCGAATAAAACAGTTTTAAATTTAAGAACGGTTTGGTTAATTGTGTATCTTGGATGGAACAAATCGACTAAGAATAAATCATACAACATGTAAATATAGACCAACAATGAATCGAACAAAACAAACGTCAGCACAGTGATTTCACTAAAATCAAGTCTTCTCAGCATCGAACAAGAAGAAGGATGTGAAATTTTATAGTCAGTTATACAACGAACAGAATGCGATAAAATAGTTGTTTCGTTAGTTTGTAGAAAAATTAGTCGAGTTCATAAATTCGTCCTATGTATTCATAGTCAAAATACTCCCCAGACAAAATAATCCTTTTCGATCAGTTAATTTGAAGAAGACTGAAGAATAATGCACTTGGATTATATTCGGTGGAGACTCTTTAATACTTCATAACAATCAACAAAATATTTTATTCGTGACTCTCTCGAAAAAGTGTGAAACCTGCAATAGTATTGTCATATAATCACATCTTTTTGTACTTGTATTTGACTGCATCGCTTTTGTTTATGACCAAGTATTTGTATTAGGGTGTAGGTGTGTGAGGATGAGGGTGGGATGTTTACCAAATGAATCTTTTCATTTCTCAACTCTCGAATGTTTTCACAATCAATCGTGTGTTGATCTTCTTCATCAATATATAAATTATCCAAACATTTCCATTCCTCGTTCTATCACATCAAATCACTTTCCATCAAACACAACTATTCATGAATTGATAACATATGCATTTACTGAACAATGGAAAACACAAACGAACTATTCAAAATACTATCATCAATGTTTACCCTCATCATGTTCATACACCTACACTGAAAAATTCAATATCTTGTACATCATGACACTTTTTCTTAGTCTTCAAGGTGGTTTAACGTTAGTTCTGGGATGGATCTGTCCAAAACTGATTCTAACTGTAGTGAAAATGTCTGAATATTATCGTAGAAAACACAGAATATCAATCCATCCGATGCATTCACTTTCAATCACATCAGATCGTCTCGAATGCATTGCTGATCTTCAAACATCCAAGTGACTCGAGAAGAAGTTAACTTTTGATGTGTTAAGCTTGAATTTATTCTATTTAGACGAACAACTGTTTCATCAACTTGGCGTTATTCGAAACTAATCTTGTTAGTTGTTTCATTGATATTACTGTTGATCAGTATTGTGATATTTTCCGTTTATTATGCGAGAAAAGGTAGAAGAATTCAGTTTTTTGATAATTATGCAGAAATATTGTCTTGAATAATTTCATTGATGGATGAAACACTAGGTCGAGACGAAAGTACAACGACGCCCACATCTTCGACTGTAACAAGTGAGATTTCTTTCGTATAAAATAGAGTCTATGTTGCCTGCATCTCTACAATTTGCTGCTTGTTATGATGTCTTCATGTATAAAATATTTGTTCATATATTTTCTCCTCCCTCTGTCAATGTACAGAGAACGATCTAATAAATCTTATACAACTTTATGCAAAAGACGACGAAGATTTTTAATTGAATCTAAGTACATTTCGGTTATTCAGTATCTAAATGAATAATTAGTTCAACATATCAAGTGCAACTACGATGAACAATGCGCTCTCTTTTATCAAACTAATATAAGTTTGTGAAGTATTTTTTGATCATCAAAAATAAAGTCTATTTGAACGAGAGATATTCTTTAATTTATTATTACTTATTAAAAGAAATAAAATATTATTTCACTAATATCTCTTAGTCAATCATAATTGTTAGATTGATTTGTGATATGGATCCCCTACGAATCGTTACCCTCAACATTTATCGTCGAAGTATGTTAGTTCGAACGAGTCGTCTCAACTCTCGTCGAAATATTTCGGACGATAAAGCAAAATTAATAAATGTCAATGAAAATCCGAGATAGATCAGAACATAAGTCATATTACTAACAAATACCTCGATAGTTGCATGTAATGTTGATTTCACGATGTACATAGTCGATGATTGATAAAGAAGAAAACATGGATTTGGAAAATTAAAAATTACAAAAATTATAATTTGATTTGCCAACATTTTATAAAGTTGAGCGTCTTTTCTTGACAGTTTATTATTCTCACATGATCGATCATTGTTTCTTTCAGTGGCTGGGACAACCCGTCGTTTAGTTTCATGAATATTTCGAACGGTCAATAAACCAAATATCAACATTAATAAGATGGGAAGAAGCCCACTATCAATCGAAATGTAAATACTAAAATATGTTGCATATGCTCCGTTTTGATAACGACAAACTTGGTCTTCTATTCGATAAAAAATAAAAACTTGAATGTATATGATACACCAGAAGATCACCATGCTGATAATGATACGATATGCAACTTTCGATGAACTCCATTGCCGTCGACGAGCGTTCCGACTACTGGCAAAATAACGATCAATTGATGCCATAATGATATTATAACGAGAATTCGCGGTACAGATGTAAAAAAGATAATAGCGAAGTTTACAAAACCAAAGCAGATTATTGGCAATGTTTACGTTGTAACCATATTGAAGCATTCGAATGAACAGGGCAAAATTATAAGTGAAAAATTGGGCGAAACTAGATGCGAGAAAGTACATCGCGCATGGACTCTTACAAAATGCTGGCTGATAAAAAACAATACAAGTTAAAATCGCTCCAATATTGCCCATCAACCAAATTAAAGCCATAACATACTGTGAAATGATTGTGTTTACAAAATTTATTAGATTTATTAAATAAATCTCATTTTTATCGATAATAATGCCAGAATTATTCATTGTTTTTCGATTGGGTTTTTAAAAAAATCTGAAATTTCAAATCAAAACTCTGTACTTACTGAATAAAGTAGACTGAAGTGTCGTATATTGATTATTAATACCTTCCTTAGCTCATCAACCAATGCTGGTAGTCAGATGATTACACATTTTGTGACGTGTCTGTATCTTATATATGGTTTTTACTGGTCATCCACAAAAATATCGGATAGTGAATGTTTCGTTGATGACATTATGTTCCTATGAATAGATTTACAGGAGCGAAAATGAAATCATAGGAAGATACATGTTGAACTCGACGATATAGGTTTACTATTATTGGGTCACGTCAAGAATTTTGAAGAAGAAACGATTACATCAAGCGTCATTAAAAAGAATTCTTCTGATGTAAAAATAATTAGGAATTAGTTGAAATTTGTTTCCGATTTCTGTATACTCCTCGATGGCAATGATCAAGTATGAAGGTACAAACTGACGAACGTTTTGATTAACGTACTTCAACCAACTCAAAATATAATAGTCTCTAAAATAGAAGTCTATGAAAATAATATCCAATTATCTCATCGAAGACGAAAGTAGTTAAGATGCGACTTATGCGCAGATAAACTGGTTAATTGAATTATGCTGCCATTAACATCTTACAATGTATCGAGTAAATCAGTCAGGGATCATCTCTCATAAGGAAAATTTTTAATTGAAAACGTCGCTTGGAAAATACAAATGCGCTAAAGATGTACTTTGAAAACCTATATAATGTTTAAAACGTTCTGCTTATGAACGATAAAATTCTACTCTCCGTCCCTAAGACGCTTTTCGGCGAAGTTTGGATCTTATGGCTAATCAAATGTCATCTTTCCCCAAAAGTTCAATTGCTTCGGAATGTATTTTGAGCACGAAATAAGAGCTGATATTGGTACATTGGAAAGCGGATAGAATTCATTATGTTACTCGACGGCTTGATAAAGTAAAACTTTCTTCATTAGACTATTCACAAAAACTACTATAATTTCATAATAAACTGCAGCTAGAGACGTTTTAGTAGATGCAGTTGTGTTTTTTTAGAAATAAATTAATACCACAAAAGTTTTTGAGGACTAAACAAGCCATGCGCCAAATAGATTTTAATCCCTGAAAACAAACTGAGAAGATTCTACTTTGAAGAGTTGTGAAGTAGAAAAGATTCTTTTTTATCACTCAAATTCGATTAAAGAAAATCTGTTGATCAAAAACATTGCAGTAGTGACTTTCACCTACTTTTTGGTAAGTTAAAAATGTATCATGTGAGCAAAATGAAATTCTGTATCGATGATTCTAATAATATCTCATGCATATTCATTCATCTGTTCTTATATAACATCACAGATTTTTACCAGAACTCCGAAGAATCTTGTGACGTGTATTTCTTTAATTTTCAATTGAAGCTAAGTACGCAAAATAGAATAAAAGATTAGTCTCAAACAATGATGTCTAAATATTTGACATCGCCATCAATAGAGAACGTTTGTTTTTATGTATTGAATAATTATAGTAACAAATACGACAATGATGTTTATATTATATTTTCTGATTATTTATTAGCTATGTTCTTATAGAAGAAATCTTCTTATTATAATCATTTTGACCTGCGGAGGCCGAATATTAAATTCACAAATTTCATTTTATTTTTATCTACTGAGAAATGATCGGAGACTTTTATCATTATTATAATAACATAATCATCAAACGATCTTTTTTGTATGTACTTTTCATACTAACAAAGCAAAGCTGTTTTTACATTACAGTGCTATCTGCTGAACCATCAAAGACTTCGAATGTATTTTCGATTTGTTTGGTTTTTTCTTCGCGTTAATGATTGAGAAAGAGACAACTGTATCATTGACTACAGACTTCTCCTGCGAACTGCACAACGATTTTTCGCAGACATTTTTGTAGTTCTTTTCTAATCGTAACATAACAAAAAGCAGTTAAGACTTCACCGTCTGCAAGGATACTGATTTCAATATATCAAAGTGTGCTGAAAATCGACTGACACTTTAAGTTTTAAAAGTAAAGTTGTAAAGTATCTTTACTTCGACTTTTAAACTCAAAGCTAACGCACTGCTTCTGAGAGAGATTCTAGAAGCAACTTTTTCTGCTCGTTTCATATATTTTTGGTTTATTTTAATACAAAAATGTGTTTAGAAACGGTATCCGTTGAAGTCAAATTGTATGACGTAAAATTCGGTGAGTGTTTATCAGTAGGATAAACACACGATCATAATAAATTGAGCGTTTGTGTCTTGTGAATAAATTAATAACATCCTTTTTCAAAAGTTCTCAAAATAATTTTGAAAATCAGTTTCTGCTACTAATCATAGTAAGGAAGACTTTTTTGTTAACTGATCACCGTCAACACTAAACATAAATATCAATGGTTTGACAAATAACATTCGTAAAGTAGAACAATCAGGCTAATATGTTCTATATTTCAAAATAGATAACTCATTTAGTTTATCTTTTCGTGTCTAAAAACAAATATGTAGGTAAAGAAGAACAAATTGACGTAAGATAGGTGAGAATATATAATTCATTTACATTGTCAAGTAAAAATATTTCCCTATCAATGGAAATATGAAAATAATATTGAATGACTTTTTCAAAACTTTCAAAATTTAGCGATATCTTGTTAGTATATGTATTTAAAACAATATAGTAAACAGCGAAACATTTGTTGTCATTCAAAGAAAAAAATACAAAGTAAATTTACATTATACCGTGAACTTATTTAGTTCTCCGTGTAACAGATAGGCATATAAAATATTCATACTAAAAATAACATTACTTATCTTTCATTATCCGTTCGCGACCAGTATATATATGTATTAATTTCTTTGCAAATAATACGAGAAATATGCACAATTTTCAAATATGTGGTAAGTACGATGCTAAAAGACCACAGACTGTGTCAATAATTTTGATTATTCTCTGTGGTTTAAATAGTTTTTACGGGAATTTTGGCTTCCCTGATAACTTTTACTATTGCTGCACCAAGAAATTTCAAAAACATAAATATTGATATAACCGGACGATCCAGTAAGATTGCAAACAATATTTATCGTTTTTATTACATATATATTTTAAAAACTCTCTCTTGTCTAAGAATCGAACTGTCGCACGCCATATGGTCCATCGAGTAGATATTCAACTGGTCCATATCCTGTCTTCGTTACATCAGGCGACTTTAATAATGACAAAAGACTTGATGTAGTAGCAGCCAATTATCATGACAATACTGTAAGTGTGTTATTGGGTGATAGAAATCAAACGTTTCAGAATCAATCCGTGTATGCGACTGGTATTGGTCCAGTATCTATTGCAGCTGGTGATTTTGATAGTGATGGTAAGCTGGATCTAGCAGTGGTCAATATCGATGACAACAGTTTAAGTGTACTACTCGGTAATGGAGATGGAACGTTTCAAAATCAAATTACTTATTCAACTGGTAATCTGCCAAATTCTCTTGCAGTTGGTGATTTTAATAAAGATAGCAAACTTGACTTGGCAGTTGTTAATCACCGAGATAATAACATCATTATATTCATAGGTAATGGAGACGGTACTTTTCAGCGTTCATCAATATGTCCAACTAGTAATCTTCCAATATTTATCTTAGCTATTGATTTAACTAATGACAGAAAACTAGATCTAGTGGTTGCAAACTATTATGACACGACAATAGGTGTTCTACTTGGAAATGGTGATGGAACATTTCAAAATCAAATGATCTATCCTACTGACCGTGGTCCATCGTCTATCGTAGCAGGCGATTTTAATAATGATAAAAAACTGGACCTCGCAGTGGTTAATAATGCTGACGACTCTATGAGTGTACTGTTAGGTATTGGTAATGGAACCTTTCGAAATCAGAATAAATTTTCGGTTGGCAGTAGTCCGTTATCTATTACAATAGGTGACTTCAATAAAGACACAAAATTAGATGTAGCGATCAGCAATTTTGGAAGTCATATTCAACTTATGGATAATGCAAATACTGCCAGTGTGTTACTTGGAAATGGAGATGGTACCTTTCAAAATCGAACTATTTATCCTACAGGTAGGGCTCCATCATGCATTATAGCGGGTGATTTCACTCAAGATATGAATTTGGATCTCGTAATAAGCAATATGCTTGACAATGATACAAACTTCCTACGTGGTAATGGTGATGGAACGTTTCTAAATCAAAAACAATACGCAACTGGCAATGGTCCAATGTCTATCACAACAGGCGATTTCAATAATGACACAAAATTGGATCTAGCAATAGCTAATCAAATAGATGCAAGTGCTAGTATACTACTTGGTAATGGAGATGGAAGTTTTCAGAAGCAAAGTAACTATTCTACTGACAAGGGCGCATCGTCTATCTCAGTAGGTGATTTCAATAATGACAAAATCTTAGATTTAGCCGTAGCTAATAGTGGTGATAACAGTGTTAGTATACTAATTGGTAATGGAGATGGAACATTTCAGAAACAAAAAGTGTATTCAACTGGAAAGAATCCAAGCGCTGTAGTCGTAGCTGATTTCAATCACGATTCAAAACTTGATTTAGCAGTAACAAATTACAATGACTTTAGTATTAGTATATTAATAGGAAATGGAAATGGAACTTTTCGGCGTCAAATTCCATACTCGGTTGGAGACTATCCAAGTTCTGTTACAACAGGTGATTTTAATAATGATAATAATGTCGATTTAGCCGTACCCAATTATTCTTCCGACACTATAAGCGTGCTGCTTGGGAATGGAGATGGAACATTCCAGAATCGTACCACGTATCCATCTGGAAGTTCTCCATTATTCATTACAGCAATGGATTTCAATAATGATACTAAACTAGATTTAGTAGTGAATAATCAAGGGGAGGATAGCATTAGTATACTATTAGGCAACGGAGATGGTACTTTTCAGCCCAGAAAATCGTATATAAGTGGTCCTTATTCATATTCGTTTTTTCCAGCTGATTTCAATAACGATAATAAACTTGATGTAGCAGTAATAAACTTTTTAGACAACACTATCAGTGTATTACTTGGTAATGGAGATGGAACTTTGCAACAACGTATCATCTATTCCGTTCAAGGATTTCCCATCTCTGTAACAGCAGGAACTTTCACAAATGATAACACCAAGATCGATCTTGTACTGGCCGATCTTGCAAATAATAATGTTGCTATACTTTTGAATACATGCTCGTAATTCTTTCATTTAGTTATAAATAAAATACAAAGTCTTTGAAAACAAAATGTTTTGTTCATTTTTTTTGTTTAATGGTGAAACACAATGGAAGGTAAAAAGACGAATCAATTTTCTAGTTTGCTCTTATGATTGCGAACAGAGATTGGATGAGTACAAGTTCCGCAAGTATAAGTTAAGATATTTGTACTATAAGAATAATAGTTTGGACTTTGATTTAAGTGTAAATATCTAACCACATCCATCCTCACCCTCAACTAAAACACTAAAGTATATTCGTACCAAATGCTAATATATCAGTATTTTTATTTTCAAATAGTTAGCATACATCTGGATTTAAAGATACTGTATAATAATATAAACCACTTACGTAGATCACTAAATGCTGTTTGTGTTTATGTAACTTTTTCGTTGAATTGTGTTACTATTTTAACGTAATACATAATCATTGTAATGAAAATTACTGTATATAAATCTTTTTAGTCTTTATTAACTGAAGTGTGAATTTTCAATGATCATAGCTACGAGTAACAGTTAACAAGCATAGGTATAGAGAAAAACGAGATCCTCAAAACGCTATATACCTAATACATAATAAACCTTAACGTTTTTCTGTTTCTCTCTAGTTTATATATGTCTTCATAAATAGCTATTACATGGGTATACGATTTTCGTTGTTGTCTATAGCCAAGATAGGATGTATGTTTCAGGTTGTGCAGACTTTACAAAAAAGTGAGACTTCCATTATAAATGCACAGTTTCTGCCATAAAGAGTGATTGAACACATTTAAACAATATAACAATCAATATGCATTTGTTCTTTCGTTAATGTACTTCCGCTACACAACGACTAAATATAATGTTGGCATAGTTTGACAAGCACAAGCGCATACACATCAGATAATATTATAAAAGACTTGGTAAATATAAATTTGAATTTGAACTGAACTGCTCTAACTCAATACCGTTCAATGACTTTTCTCAATGACAATGTCAATACCACTCAACTTAATAGTGACATATTTCATATGATCTTTCCTCCCTTTTTTCCACATCTAAAGTCACAATTATTTCACACTACAAGCAATCAAGTCTAAAAATCACTATTTCTTAAATAAATAATAATAATCATCATCATCATCATTCACAGTTACTCTTTTCTTTATTTTTTGCGTGTCTACAAATCTTGATTTACTTTTTTCTTCTCTCGACTTGACGAAGAATTCCACTCACTCATTCTTTTCTCGTATTTCTCTTTTCAATCGTTTTCATCCTCACAACCATCAACAACATGCTTGTTCACCTTCTCAACCATCCGTGTTGATGTGTTGTTGTTGTTGTTATTTTCGATTGCACAAAAACATCATCCTCTGTTGAAGTTTTTTTCATTTTGCTTTTGGTCTGATTTTGTTCGTCTGTTACCTTTCATCACATTGAGTTGATCCGTGTTTGACAGATCTGAACAATGATCTACAATCGTGAAAATAATGAGTGGATTCAACGACCATCATCTGCACAAGGTAATCTTCAGAGTCATCCATGTTTTCAGTCCAGTCTTCTCGATGATGGACACGCACCCGGAAGTGTCGAAGTGTGGAAAAAGTCTTCATCTTCCCATCGACCACAACTTCGAATGACAAATGTCGATCGAGATGCAGAAGATTATGATCAGAATCTCGAAGCCAAAGCCTATTTTCAATCTGTGAGTCAACCTCCTCTTCTTCTTCTTTCTCACGTGAATAACATTTGATCGGCTAGTTCAAACATCTGAGACGACTGACGNGATGATGGACACGCACCCGGAAGTGTCGAAGTGTGGAAAAAGTCTTCATCTTCCCATCGACCACAACTTCGAATGACAAATGTCGATCGAGATGCAGAAGATTATGATCAGAATCTCGAAGCCAAAGCCTATTTTCAATCTGTAAGTCAACCTCCTCTTCTTTCTCAGATAAATAACATTTCATCGCCTAGTTCAAACATCTGAGACGACTGACGATCTCTAATCCAAACAACATCCAACAGTATGAGGTAATCTTGCTGAAAAGAGCGAAGAGTTATGCACTGGTTGGTCTCAAAGGAGAAGTAAGATAAATGATCTGTGACGATGTTGACTTATGTAATTTGTGTGATAGTTGAAATCAAATGAAGAAGAAGTAGAAGTAGAAGTAAGAAGAGATGTGTGAGAGTGATGAATGATGTAGTGTTATTTGTTGATAGCATGGCAGAACTTCACCAACAAAGAAGACAAACAAAGTAAGTGAAAGGTGTTGGTGTACACGAAGATGTTGAATGTGTGTCTTTTATTGATTTAGAACAAAGATATTGACGAACAAGATGATCTACAAGTACAATCTCAAAGATCATAAAGTGAAAGAACACTTTCGATGTGTTGTAGATCGAAGAAAGACTCGATATCAACACACTCGAAGCAATCAAAAGTGCGTTCATGCAAGACTTGTCAGAATCGAAATCAGGATGGATGAAGAATGTTCATGTTGATGCATCTGGACAAATGACATTGCAAGACTTCACTCGAGTTCTCAAACGATATGTTGGACGACGTCGAGGAGTAGGTGTCATTACATCCTCCTTTATTACCTTTCCTTCGTTCTCTCTTCATAATAGATCGATGAACAAATCGAGAATCTGTTCAACAAGATCGATTATAATGCTGAAGAGTTGATTTCGTGGGATGAGCTGTGCACATATCTACAACTGAACTTTGATGAGAAATCAGATGCTGAACAACGTGCAAAAGAAGTGTCATTCATCATTCCAGCAAAGATCCATAAAACACCACATCGACATCCATGTTCGACTATCGCTCTCTCAGCTGATCATCAATATTTGGCATTGGGAAGTGTGAGTATCTGTAACTATCACTATTCTTTGTTATCGAATCGATGCGAATAGGATGGAACGATCTCAGTTTGGACAACAAATGGTGAACCGAGAACGACAAAGTCGATTGCCGTGAGTAACTGAGAGAAACACGAAGAGAAGAGGACGAAACACATGTGCCGTTGTTTGTTGTAGTCAAGTGCAGGTATTTCTCAGACTTTGACAGCAAGAGAACGACTCGAAAAGGTGAGATTATCTCTTCTTCTCTTCCACCACCTTCAAGATTAGAATGATGAAATTGTAGAGAAAAGATCAACAAACTCGATCTCAACCGAAATGGATCACTGATTGTCAAATCATTCCCGAGTTCAACAAAGTCGTTGTCAGTACCGGGTAACAATCTGTTATTCTTCTCTTCTTTCTATAACATCGTCTCTTCTGTTCTCGTTGTTGGTTTGTAGAGATCGTGAACTTCAGTTTTGGGATCAAACATATTGTTTGAGTACGAATCGAGAAACAAAACCAAACGAACTTCCATGTACACAGATCTCTTCACTTGACAGTACACCCATCAAACTTAACTATGGGTAATCAGATCCATACAATCTCATTCCTCGGATGATGATGATGTTGTTGTTTTGTAGAATTCCATCTACAGAAGAGTTGTTGCTTGTGTTTGGTGATACCGAAGGATGTGTCAATATTTTGATGTTTTTTGCTGCTCGAGAGATCCTTCGACTGTTGACGAATGCTGAGCGGAAGAAAGGTATTCCAACAATGGCATTTGATCGTTTTCTGGAGACATTCAAGTGTGATTATGTTCGATGGCAAGTTCATCGAGAATGGATTGGTGAGTCGAGTGAGAGATGTAGATGAGTTTTTGATCCGTTGTGTGTGTTTGTTGCAGAGGGTGTGAGTTATGATCCACGATTGAATCAGATCATTTCATGTTCGAATGATGCTCAAACAGCGGTAGTCATTGGTTGTATTCGAACAAGTCCAAGTGCAGAGATTCAGCTGACAGAAGGTGGTTTTTCTGAACTGAAGTCTCGTTCTGTGAAATCAGCCGATCCTAAGTCACGCAAACATCAAACAACAGCACTGACGGGTGAGTTTCGATGTTCTTGTGTATGTGTGATGATGTGATATGTAACGATGAATAGATATTACTGAAGAGAAGGCGACATCGACATCATCTCGTGTTCAATCAAAGCGTAGCTCGACAGCATCTCATCATACTCCTTCATCTCAAGACCCTCATTCACGAAGACCAACTGCTAATGTGGCCGAGGGTAAAGCTGAGCCAGCAAATGCGACCACAGCAGTGACGGTGTCGGGCAGTGGTAGTGGAAGAGGAGGAGGAGGAGAAGGAGGATTAGGTGGAGTTCGTTCTCCAGCGATTGTTCGAACTCCTCAGACTCGATGTGAAGCTGATGAAATAGTGTTCAAAGTGCAGAAAGGTGTTCGAACATTTGATCTGTGCACGGAAAAGAATGTTCTTGTGACTGGTGGAATGGATCGAATTGTGAGAATCTGGAATCCATATTTGCCATCTCAACCGATCGCTCGACTTCGTGGTCATAATGCACCTATATTTCTTGTGAAGATTGCAGTGGAAGACAATCGATTGTTTTCGATTTCAACAGACAAGACAGTTCGGGTAAGTGATGTGTTGATTATTNGTGTTCGAACATTTGATCTGTGCACGGAAAAGAATGTTCTTGTGACTGGTGGAATGGATCGAATTGTGAGAATCTGGAATCCATATTTGCCATCTCAACCGATCGCTCGACTTCGTGGTCACAATGCACCTATATTTCTTGTGAAGATTGCAGTGGGAGACAATCGATTGTTTTCGATTTCAACAGACAAGACAGTTCGGGTAAGTGATGTGTTGATTATTCCTTTTTGTGAAAATACATTTTCATATACACATTTATTGGTGAGACTTTTCGAGTTACAGAAACGAAAAAAGCGCAGAAATAAGTTTTAATTGTGTCTAGCCTTATATAATATCAAGAAGCGATTTTTCCTTCGGTAACTCAGTTTTGTTCGGCAAACTTGTTCGCTGTAATGCTGAGATTGTTGTATGCAAAGCTTTTGGAGGCGGAAGTGTTACTGTTTCATTTGGTAGAGCATTAAGAAAAGAAGGAATTTTCGTAAGACTGTAGTTGAAATGATCCAGTATCCAGTCCATAGCAAATTTATCTGTTCGAAGTTTCCCCTGTCGTGTATATAAACGTACTGCATACATCCATGATATATCATTCCACATCGAATGATATTTCATATTAGCCCATTTATAGGTTTTTTCGAGAGGAATTTTCCATGAATTATTTGCATATTCGATATTGAGATATTCCACAGGCGAACATGGCACTGAGAATCGATGACCAAAAAGATTACATGAACAGAGTTTTCCAATTAATGGAAGAGTACGTCTAAAACATAGCAGACTCCATCAGAAACTATATTTGTTTCTAAAGTTGATCGTTAGTTGACTGTAAAAATGAACTTTAAGTTGTTTTGATGAATATACCTATACTTTTTTCTATATATCTGAAAACCGAACCATCGATGATTATGCTCACGATACGCCCAGAATAGATCGATTGTATAACGGTCTGAGTGCAGACGAAACTCGAGTGAATCGTTGACCTATTTCAAATGAACGTATACGTACAAATAATCGAAATGATCATCAACTCACAAATCCCAACGCACTCCAGAGAGGAATAACAGGATTCCCAAGGAAATGATTCCGTATACTTTCGTCATATTCTTCAGCATATAAACCAATATCTGTATCTTGTGTGAATGGAATCACACCGCAATGTCGATACCAACCTGTGAATTGAGTTCTTTCTTCTAAAATCAAACCAAACGAAGTACTATCATACCTAGTAGAGCTCCACCAGCTAGCCAATAGCGCTTTTCGAGTTTATCAAGAGTATGGATAACATGTAAGATTGGCTCAACAGTAGTATTGTACTTTGTGCGATTCTGATATAAGTGATACTTGTTTTCCATTCTGTTTGCTAATGCTCGATTGCAATGTAGAAATTCCGATGTTTTGTATAACCACAAAAAATGTGACACATTTCGAGGGTGGTAAAACAAATACTCGTGAAATTCGGTGTCAATACTGGAAACAACGAAACACGGCATGAATAGCTTTTCATACTGGTAAGAAATCTTACTGTTCAACAGCACGTAGTTTGTCACCAAAAGATAGATGAATATTGTCACCATCGGAGAATCGAAGATGATTGGGTTGGACAAGGTAAAACGAGTAATATTTGTGTAGAACAGCTAGATGAAGGATTTTATGTTGATATGTGATAAAAATATGATCAATGGACATCCGATGATTTGCGAGAGTGGTGGCTGATGTCTGTATAGAGAAGAGAGGCGTTTGTTGAAGTGTTTGTAGTAATCTCTGAACTGATTGGTCGAAAACGGCAAATGTTACTAACTGTTTGTTGAGTTCATCGAATGACGTGTGATCGATAAATAGTTGATTCAATGCACTTGGATCGATTAAAATAATATTAAAGCTCATTTGATATAATTGACTAATTACACAGTAAAAAGTCGAGTTTGATCGATATTTATATCGATTTGCTTTCTATAAGGGACGTATTCACTGTTTTGGTATGCGAGAATGATGCTTCTTACTTGAACTTCACGAATCTCTGATGATTTTCTTATATTCTCGAAAGCCAGCCATATGATAGCATAGACCAGAAATAAGAATATTAGGAATCTTTTATTGCGATTCAATAAACGAATTAAACTCATTAAATCCAAATAAACTCAGTAAATAAATATCGTTAGAAATGTCTTTGAAATATACTTTATTTAGCACTCGAAACAACCATGAAGAACGTTGTTGTACACCCTGAAATGTGACTGTTTTGTGTAGTAACGACGAAAATGACTTAAGCAGAGCAATTTCTGCAACTTTGTTCTGCTTTCATACAGCATTTCTTTTTCGTTTAACGTAAGCATACATTTTCACAAGAAGAAAAGATTCTATTTGCACACACAGACCTGAAACATGTTTTCATACCCGTTTCCTTTTCAAATTCTTCACAAATGCATATGTTAATTCCTTCAAAGTTTATTTTTCTTCTTTGATGCTTAAATAAGCATAAATTCTTGAATGAGTTACAAACACAGAAGAGACCGAAGCATGAGTGGTTTATAAGGTTCATTTCGAGTAAATTATTAGTGCCTTAGCAGTTCCATAGTTATTGTACGGTTTATACTTAAGCGTACAGATATTAAGATTTAATGTGACTGTTGACAACTTTTAGAATAATGAACAGTTTTTGCCAATTTTGTTTTAGGTATGGGATCTAATTGAACACACACTTCTTGCTTGTATTCGACCAAAAGTTCACAAAATACGTGGAGATCTACAAGCTGTCTCTTACAATCATCATACACATTCTATTCTCTTTGTTGCAAGTGAACAAATTTCATTTCTTAATCTCAAACTACGGTCAGTCCTCCCCNTGGTAAAAGGTGAGTTGATGTTGATTTGAGTTTCGAAATGATAAGAAAATTTTATTGATGAATAGACTTCGATATTTTCATGATAAACCAAATGTTTCACTTCGTCGTGATGGTTCGAGTTATTATCAACATTTGCGTTGTTATACGATTGATGACAATCCACCAACAATGTCAACATCAACAAACGACAACACGGTGTATTTGGCTAACTCAGTCAAATCATAAGAAAACGCAAACAGTTTTCTTCCGATAAACAAAATGTAGATAATATAAATAGAATACTTATGATTTCTTTGAAAAATTTCATACAAGCATCGAAATGACAGTCGCTTTATTTTTCCAACAAATCAGACATCTTATCTTTATATTTCGTTTCACCAAGTTTGTTATAATAATCAAATAAACTTATAATTTCTATTATCTCAGAAGTATTGTGACTGTCAATTCATATACGAACAAACATTTCTTCTCAGCACAATTGATCGATAACCAAATAATTGAGATGCAATTCTCAGTCGTTTCATGAAAGTTTATTATTTCAATTGTAATTGAATCGGCATACAAGATTTGTTTAAACCTAGTCTTAGCTTCTTTCGAAACTAAATAACTGGGAGAAATCATTTCACATAGCGAGAAAAACGTGTGCAAAAGTTACGAAAAGCAAAAGTCGCACACCCTCAACACTACATGGGACAGATAAAACGAATAAAATTGAAGTTTATTTAATAAGGTTGTGTGCATTTGATTCCTTTTATTCGACGATACCACTTCGGGCAATGGCAATCTTAGCTTTTGTAGCTCCAGATTGCGAACCTAAACTTTCGAGTTTTTTGACAATATCCATACCATCAACAACTTCACCAAAGACAACCTTTTACAACCGAAGGACAAGTTAAATAATAAATCTATAAAATTCTTTCAAGGTTTCTTACATGTTTGCCATCAAGCCATGAGGTTACAACAGTGGTAATAAAAAATTGAGAACCATTTGTATTCGGACCGGCATTAGCCATTGATAAAAGTCCAGGCTTAGAGTGTTTAAGTTGAAAGTTTTCATCGGCAAATTTTTCACCGTAGATACTAAACAAAATCAGATTTTTTCAATCGGTTTTCCATCGAAAGTCGTTTACCTTCGACCACCAGTGCCATTACTATAAAAAGAGATATGAGAACACGAGTAGATAATAATTAATTGACTCACTGTCTAGTGAAATCACCCCCTTGTAGCATAAATTGCGGAATTACCCGATGAAATGTACTTCCTTGGTAACCATAGCCTTTTTCATTTGTGCACAATGCTCGAAAATTGGCTAAAATATTCGTATTATGCAATAAAGTTCACAAGATTTATTCTGAAAGTACCTGCAGTTTTAGGTACAATTTCATCGAAGAGCTAAAACGAAGAAAAAATCGTTGAAGATGAGCAGAAAATCTTGTTTTTCCGTACTCTGAACGTAATGCGACCAACAGGATTATTGTCAACCGTAATATCGAAGAAAACGTTTTTTCCAGCCATTGTTCAACTTCTTTGACCGAACAAAAATGTAAATCTAGAATATCAGATCTGTAGTGAAAAGCATCAGTTAACCAAAAGAGACAGAAGATTCATTGCACAATATGTATAAACGCATATCTATATGAGGAAGTAGACATATAAAGAGAAAATAGATACACTTAGCAATATCTGACAACAGGCTAATTGATAAGAAAGAAAGAAAGAAAGATTGAGATTATTTTGGGAGAATATTGACTCAAAAACAAGAAAAAGAAAAATTCGCCTTTCGACGAAGAAACTAGCACTGCAGAGAAGAATTTCTATTCGATATTTAATTCATGTAATAAATTCTTCGTCGATTGTTGCAAAGAACACGTTGGTAGATGAGATAACTAAAAAAAAAAACTTCAATAGAAACCAAAATTTTCCATTTAATCAACTGTAACTTACCCGCATGAGAATCGGCAATCCATTCATATCTCGAATAATCGCTCTACATGTGGAATCTTTCGCTAAACTTGTCAATGTTATCACAATCGATTCCATTAACGTATCAAAACGTTGAATATCTTCAGGTAGTTTTAATCGATCCCGTTCCAAATTCATTAATAATTCAATTAACTTCTGAACTGTATTTTGTTCACATAAATTCGGGATTATTGTTTGAGATAACGACAAATTTCGAATTAAACCGACTGTTGCTCTGATAGTTCCCCAATGTCCATTGTAATTCTTATCGCGAAACAATTTCACGATATTACCAATTCCGTATGATTTTCGTACGATTTCACGCGCTTCATTTTCGAGATCGTGTCGAGCGGTAACATGACGGAGTGTACATAACTAAACAAATCAATTCTAATAAGTTAATAAAACAACAACAAATTGCTTTTTCATACCGCTGCTTCGATAAGCTCATCATTTCCATCGGAATTCATCATTAATTTCTGCATGACACTTTGCACTCCGTTCAATTTCACAAATAAACTTTTATTATTTCGATTATCTGCTGTTAAATTGCCAAGAATTTCCAAGGAGTAAATAACTGATTGACGATCATCACTTGATAACATCGCAGTCAGTTGTTGAATTAACGAATCAATATCACGCTGAAACATATAGAAGTTCTTCATTGGGTCGGAAAATATTCCAATGCACTTACCATTTGCGTCGCTTGATTAGAAATATTTCTTAGTGTGATAAGACAGTTATGTCGTATTCGAATACTCTTCGTCGTGCGTAGATGTTTTTCGATTATATTTAATCCATTTGATCGAAGAATCAAGCTTTTATTCATTTCATTTCCTGATGATATGATTGGTAATAGTTTCGATATTGTCAATAGTAATTTATCGTATTTATTCGTTTCGAAGATCCAAAGAAGACGTTGAATGCATTCTTCACTATTCTGTATGAATTGTTTCGATTTTGTGCTGTAACTTGACATTTTTAGTAAACTGTCAGTGACTAAGGTTAATAATTTATCGTTTGTACTATCCAGTAGATGAGTGAATTTGATAAGACCTTCACAGCGATAAATTTCGTCAGCTGCTTGATGTTGGAGAACGATCAGAAAATTATGTAATGTTGTTATCGCGTAATTAACGATGTTATCAGCACAGCTAAGCAAAGTTTTGAATAGAAAAACAGAAAATTCAGCTGTTAATTGTCTTACTCAAGAATTTGTATTAAACGTGCGATGCCTCCGCAGTCATAAATGACACGTAGACCTTCTTGTTGTTGAGAGAGTGAGTGAAATAGATTGACTAATGCATGTGTGACCTTTCCATCACCCATATCTTTTGAGAATGTCTCCAGTAAAGTGTTAATTAACTAAAAGAATTGATAAGAAAACGAAGGGAGAACAATAAAGTATTTTACCTCGCGATTTTGAATTACTTCCGATCGACTTTCATTTCCTTCTTTGACTAAGATGTGTGTGAGTAAGACAGCTTCGCGAACGATAACTGGATCGTCTTCCATCAATAGATTAAGTAATTCAGGGATGACTTGAGATGGTTCTGGTTTGGGTGGTGGTCCTGGTACTGATTGTAATTCAGTGTATTGTGGATGAGTATTTTCAATGTCATTAGGCAAGCGAGGAGGCATTTGTTCGTACATTGCTGCTCCTGATCCGTGATGTTGAGAACTTGTACTTGCCGAGTCTACACTTCGCAGTGAGGCTGGTCGAGAATTAAAACCAGAATCACGTTGCGATGGGCATCCATTTGACATCGGATAGGAATCGTCGAGCCACATGGAAGTATGACTTTCTGAACTGATAGGTTGTAACTGGTTTGATAGAAGAGGATGTGAAGGATGATGTGTGTGAGGCTTCGATGAATGAGGAACTTGATGGTGCATTGGAGATGGATAGTCCATGATGATTAACTAGAGAAGTGAAAAGGCGAATTATGCGTTATACAATGTTCATTATATTTACCTAATCGTATTGAATATGTTCGTCAATGATGAACTCGAATGAGAAAGAGAACGCTAAGCAAACTGACACGGCGGCCGCGCTTTGTCCGTTTTTCAACGGATATTCAGTTTTCGTTGTCTTTTATCAACCAATAAAAACACATCTCTTTGGTTACTTGTTACTATCGAATATCCTCTGTTCGACTTTTCATCCAAAGATTATTTACATTCGACATTCTAGTCATTTGCTCATATCCCAAGCGAAACAACTGCCATCGGTTCAACATTTATCAATGAAAAAATCATCTAATTATTCGAATTTCTGACGCCATCTATCCATATTGAAATTTGTACAATCGATATGCACGATTGTACAAATGCCCCGAAGAAAATTCCAATTTACCCCACCTGCTTCTCTCTGCATAATCGCAAACAATTAATCGATTATTTCACAGCTCATTAAGCCGATTATTTGAATAATGAATGTTTTTATTGTTTATATGAAAAAAGTGACGGTAGGAAAGACGTTACGTTCAATCACTAGTTTACTTTTTACTAGAAAAAGAGCTAAACACAGTCACAGGATCAGAAAAACGAGATGCTTGGTTGAAAAAGATGAGCATTCTAATAACTATTGTTTAGATTTTTCGCTTGCTATTTCTCCGCAATCAGCAATTGTTATCTTCTTCTGAGTTCGACCTGATTGAGAACCTAATGCTTCGATTTTTTTCACTGTATCCAGACCATCGACAACTTCACCGAAAACAACCTAAATGAAAAGCACATTCGTTATTTCTTGAATACTTCAACAAATTTCATACATGTTTGCCGTCGAGCCAAGGGGTCGAAACCGTTGTAATGAAGAATTGCGAACCTAAAAAAAGCAAATATGAAGATCGATAGACAGAAGATTTGATCTCACCGTTGGTATTCTTGCCGGCATTAGCCATGGAAAGTAAACCTTCTTTTTCATGTCTGATTTGGAAACTAAAATCCAGTTTCACAATGGACTAAGTTATAACTACAGTCAGATTTCTTACTTTTCATCGGCGAATTTGTTACCATAGATACTGAAATGAGAGAGATTATTTTAGAGTTGTAAAATGACTTTTGACGTTAATTACCTGTATCCACCAGTACCATTACTTAAAATACATAGAAAGAATGATTTGGAGAGCTGAATTTTTGCGATTTATTTGACTTACTGTCGTTCGAAATCTCCACCTTGTAACATAAATTTAGGAATTACTCGATGAAATGTGGAGTTTTTATAACCAAATCCTTTTTCGCCAGTACACAAAGCTCGGAAGTTCTCTAAACAAAATCCATTCTTCCATTTCGGATCATATTTCTCTTATCATACCTGCAGTTTTCGGAACGACATCATTATAAAGCTAATATTCATAAAAAGAAAAATCTTAAAGATTAAACTTCATTACACACTACTAACTTGAAATGTGATTCGTCCAAGCGGCTTATCTTCTACATTCACATCACTAAATGTCGAAATTCAACAATAAAATCCAAGAAACAAAGTCAATTACAAGAAACATTTTGATCGAGACACATCTTTTTTCGATGATCCGCTGAATATTCCAAACGTTCGTTGCAAACCACACGATTTCTACGATAATCAAAATCAAATTCTATATTCAACTTGAGCATTCATTGATAGAAACCTGAACATTCGATGACAAAACATTTCGAAGAAGTGTACGTGAAATCATTCTTCCTTCAACTTTCTTTTGTATGAAAAAATCTACAAATACAATGGAAGCACAAAAATTTTTATTCAATATATCATTCGTCAAAATCATACGAAAAGAGATTAATCAAAGATTCATTACACACACAAACACGAAACAAAAATGTGACATATTCAGATCTCAAGGAAAAAAAAGAAACTCAGGATAAGAAAATGGATTGATTAAAAGAGAATATCTAATCTTCTGACATAAAGTAGATCGATATAATATGTATGTAAAGATATGTATATATGCACATCAATCAAAAATGAGAATTCTACAACTAAATTTCATGTTTCGTTTTCACAAATCAGTGTCGAACCAAGCAGCCATTTGAGGATTATTAGTATTATGAGGTGGAGGTGTTTGATGATGGTTTGACGAACGAGGCGAACCTTGCATCATATCTCGATCGCCGATGAGTACTTGATTATCCATTAAACTTCCCAGACCACTACCACCTGCACCTTCAGATGCATAATAATTCATTGTTGGAACATCATGAAGGGGTGGTGGAGTTCCTCGATAGGGATTTGCATATGTACCATTAGTCGAACCATTTCCCATGCTGTAGTGCTAGAAATGCGCGAGTAAATCAGATTCAATCTCTGAAGAAGATGATTCGTTTAAGACTTACGTTGTTGATCATATGTTCTTCGCGATACAAAGCTGATGTGACATCTTGTGATAAACGCTTTTTCATATCATACGGTTTATCATCCGATAGACGAAATAGAATTGCTGCTGCGTATGTAGCTAGAGGAAAACAACTGTGTATAATCTTAAAATAAAGAAGAGTTTCGACTTACCAACGCCTTCGTCACTCGATTTGAGTAATTCAGTCAGTTTTTGTGTACAATTTTGCTTTTCAACAATGTCTGCACATAAACGATCATTCACGAGTTCACACAAAACACCCGCAGCTGCACGTTGAATTGCAATATTCGATGGTGGATAGAGAAGCTAAACACGCAAATCAATAAACTCAACAAAAAAGGTGAAGAAAACCACAATTTCCTACTCGAACAAATAATGGAATACAATCTAAATCACGTATGATTATTCGATTTTGCTGATCTTTCGCAATAATATGTAGGGCACTAACACACGCTTCGAGAATATCATCCATTCGAATATAATTATCAATTAATTCAACATTAGGCTGTTGTCGTTGTAATTCCTGATGACTTCGAACGAGTAACTGTGCTAATTTCTGTATCGAACCCGTTTCACGCAAAACTGGAAGATTATTGGGCGACAAAGCTAAATTTCGCACTAGACTTATAGTCGATTTGATAATAGGCCATGAATAGATTGCCGGATTAAGTAATTCAACAATTGGTAATAGACCATTGACATTTCGAACTGTATCTTGTGCTTCTGCCGCATGGGAATGTCGAGATGTAATATGTCTTAATGCGCAAATGGCTGGTTCTAGAATTTCTTCTTTATCATGACCTTGAATAATCGCGTTGATCAATCCATGAACACCATTCGATTGAACAACAGCCATTTTGTTGTATTGGTTATTACATGTCAAATTGGAGAGAATGCCGACAGCACATGAAACGGTGATGAGATCGTTGGTTTGTAATAATTCAATGAGTAAGCGAAGGAGTGAGTCAAGATTTTCCTAAAAGAAAAGGGTTTCTTTAGGAAAAAATAATGATTTGTTAGTCTACGAACTAGTTTAACAGCTTGATCGGAAAGATTTCGAAGAATTTGTAAACAATTTTGTTGTACACGTAAGCTTATTGGTTGATATAATTGTTTTTCAAGAATTTGAACTGCATTTTTCGATATCATGACGATTTTGATGGATGGACTGACCGATAAAACTCGAAGAAGACGTGTTGTTGTCCATAACAGTTTTTCATAATCTGTTAATTCCAAAATCCGTAACAGTTGTTGAGGACCATTGCTTGATTCGATAATGATCTAAATCGATAAACATAGAGATAATCATTTCTTCTGAAATCGAGTTCGTTTCAAAGCTTAAAATGCGTCACCGAGAACAAAAGACAAGAAGCCATTCTAGTTTCCTTTGTCAATACTGCAAAACTTACCAAACAAACAAGAAAAAGACTTTCTAAACACATGGACAGCGAAATGACGGCGACTTTCATGCTTATTTACCTTCACTTCTTCATTGTTGAATGCTAACATATGAAGACAATCAGTAAGAATAGCCAAAAACTTCGGATTGGTACTGTTTAACAATCCCACCATTTTCTGACAACCACCACAACGAAGAATTTCCAATTTAGCATTCTCTAAATGTAACAATAAATTGTGTAACGTCGAGAGTGAGTAATTAACCACGGATTCAATCGATGAACTAGAAAACGACAAGAAAGGATAAGACAAGAGAGGAAAAATATTCTTACTCGAGAAGTCGAACAAGAATTGGAATAACACCACCTTTGAAAAGTAGAACAAGGCCTTGCTTTTGATGAGACAGACAATGAAACACCCCTGCTATTCCACGACGTGTTTCATCGTTAGCACGTGGATTAGAGATCGCTTGAATTAAGGCTTGAATCATTTGTGGAGTAGATAAAGCTATTCGGCTTGCTTCTTTCTTTGCTAACGTATGTAAAATCAATGCAGCTTGACCTGAAACAATCGGATCATCATCGCTCAATAAACGAATCAATTCCGGAAGAGCTTTTTCAGTTATATCAGCATCCTCTTTATAATTAATGATATCAATGACAGCATTTTTTAACAATTGTGATGGCTCGGCAAGTTTCTGAACGGCCGTCGGTTGACCATTAGCAAATTGAGGTGAAGCCATTGGCATGGATATTCCACCAGCTACACCATCTTCGAGGGTCTCAGGAAATATCGCTGCGCGAATACGTTGAGCACGTGTTGAACTCAACTGGGCACTCATTGATTCAATATGTTCCTGGACCATATAATCGTCCATATGACCATTACGAACATGAGAACGATGACCATGTCCATTCATTCCATTTGTCGTTGGATAAGTTTCGTACTCCATGGGAAGATCAGAAGAGATTTATCGAAATAAAACACAAACGATTGAACTCTATCCAGCACTAGTTAAACTGTATTCTGATTCGCCATATTGTTTATTCGATAGTACATTGAACAAGTTAAACAAATAAACAGAACAGAACGGACAAATAATTGCTACGAAAAAAAAATCTTTCTGAAAATATGTCATTCTTAGTATTTCATAAAAAAAACGAGAAAAATGCAAATTTTAGGATATTAGTCGAGAAAATATCAATTCTGGCAATAGATGGCGCGCATTGATACGATAACGCAGTTGACCTATGGTCATATATATATTCAAGATATGTACGGCAGAACTATATGTTGAATAGAATCATAAAAAGACGGTACGTATGCCCTACTGAACATTATCGAACGAATAAGAGTCATTATTTCTACTTTTACTGTTGTAAATTTATATGACAAAGCGAAAGTAAGTTTTGTTCATGATTAAAAAACCGTTATAATCTTCGCACATATTCAAAAGTAGAAGAAATAAAACTCGTTTATCGGTGTACTTCCAAGGCTATGTTGTGTAAATATGTCAATAATAAGTTTCATTGATGATTGTCTTACGCTCGAAAAATCTTTGAATTTTATTATCATATATTCCTCATGAATAGCTGTCAAGAAGTTATATAATAACCAAAATCGATAGAAAGCAATTTCGAACCTTCTCGTTCGTTTATCTTTTCATTTTCAAGTCAAACATAGATACTCATTTCGAAGAATGTATTTGCTCTCGTTAAACAGTCTCTTGTTGTTTTTTTTTTCAAAGAAAATCACGGTGCACGTTCGATTGTTGTTGAACAAATGTAGTTTTAGTTTAATAAGAAGTTTTTATTATATGTAATTGCTAATCTATCATTAACCGAACAATAATATAAAACAAGTTGAATAAAAGTTTGTAAAAAACGGACACATATGTAATTTGTATATAACTCGCTTATCAAAGAAAATAGAAGAAGAGAAACAAGAAGGAGAGTCGATTTTGACTTCAAAATCTCAATCAAATCTTGTTTTCTTATACAAAAACTGTCAAATACTCGTTCAAATGTCGACTGTGAATGTTTCTCGCATTAGATTGCTGTAATAAGGCTGATGCTGATGTTCCAAGATCGGTTCCAACACCACTGATCGATGACTGCAAAGAAAAAATAACATTCGAAATGGATTTTTCAAAACTTCATGCAATTTGATTAATAAAGATGCAAGCAATGATTATCAAAGACGAGTAGATCTATTTGATGTATTAAAGTTAGTTACACGCAAAACAAAAACAAAGCGTTGACAAAATGAAAAAAAAACCTAAATTTAGCAACGAGTAGAAGCAATGGGGCTGAATCGAGCATTAAGATAGCAAAAGCTGTTGTCTCCTACTTCAACTGTTGCTGCTGCTGTTGTTTGTTGTCGACAAGCATCAACAATGGCTGTCGCACCTGAGGAGGAGGGAGAAGAGGAAGATAAGAATAAGTGAGTTGACGTGCTCGATAATAATGAATAACAATGAGAACAAACATGATTAATGAAATGATTAGAGTTAGAGCAAGCAATACAAGCATTAGTTAATGGTTGAACTCTATGGACTACCTCGTGAGATTCGGATATAATATCCATTGCATCTTCAGATATCGCAGGACGTCGGAGATCCATTGAACGTCTTTGTTGTTGATTATTAACCCATTGCATGTCTTCATTAATTGTGTCCAAATGTGTAGGAGGTTCGTTCGATTCACGTATGGTTGTACGGAATGAACCTGTATTTGTCGGTGCTGGCCGATCACTAACATCGGATGAACTTGACGAACTGCTCGTCGAACGATTGTCGTATGTTGATAGTAATTCTTCGATCGTTGTATTTATCGGTGGTTCGCTGACTTTGTAGTGTCCGGAAAGAAGACGGTTGTTAATTGGTGATGACGTTGTTTGTTCACTGCTATGTGATGAATCGTCATCACGTACACCCAACGCATAAGGTGAAGATTCGACGATAGGAGTTTTTGATTTCAGAAATGATATTCCTTGCGCTGATGAATTCTGACTGATTTTGAAAAATGGTGGAACGCGATGTTTAGCGCGTTGGATATTATAATAAATAACAATAAATAATATTGCAATGATAATAAGGATAAATGCACTGACACTTGCTATGATCGCATAAGTTGTACTATTGTCTGCGGATCGAGATGTACCAATCGTTGATGCTGGATATGAGTTTGATGGTAAATTGCGAATTGTTACAATAACATCAGTGGAAAGATTCATTTTTAAAGTTGAACAGACTTGTTGAACAGTGATTTGAAATTGATAAGCTTCTTGAATCGGTGATGTAGATGTATTGGACCAAGTTAGATTACCTGTGGAAGAAATTGAGAAGAGAGAATCATATGGACCAATGATGGAATATTGCACTTGACAACGATTATCTTTAATGATCTAAATGAAAATGAAAGAAAATGTGAAAAGAAGAGTTAGATTGAAGAATTTTCTCACTTGAATTGTACCAATGTTTGAGAGAGAATCATTAAGTGGATAGTCGGCTGACAATAGATATGAATTCATTAGGAAGGCTAAGGGTGTATAGAGATAAACATGAAGGTCGGTCTGATCTGACTGAAATTTTACCAAGAAAATTCAATTGATGATTAATTACATGTAGAAAAACTTACATATTGTCCATCAGAAACATTCAAAACACAGATACATGTTTGACAAACAGGAAGATTTTGAAAATTCGTTAGTTGTAATCGAAATTGACGAAGACTAAATGATCGAACACAACACCGATGAATTCCTATACATCTAAAACGATCTTACCTAGTTTTTACAATTTGCAAATTAAGCGATGATGAATCACACGAGTAACTATACACTAATCTCGGATTCTAAACAAAAACTAACTCTAAAAAACTTTCAATTGATTAATTTCTTCTTTACCGCATCCATATCACTAACAGTTCCATTGACTGTTGGTATCTGATCGAGATTATTCATTGTATATCCGACCATGATGTAAGGCGAAGAAAGAAACCTTGGTGGATACAGATTTAACTCATAGATATTTACATGTAACACAGTTGTTGCAAATCGATTCGGATTATTTTCTTGTTCAGCCTAATCAACGAAAAGAAAATATCAATTAAAACTTCAATCATGCACTAATTTTACTTTAATTAACAGATCGAACTGAGCTATTGAATCCAAATTCGATTGAAGAGTAATAACACCTGTGTATTTATCAATATTAAAGTACATATCTACGAAAAATAACATTGAACACATTTAGATAAAACGTCTATCTTCATACTCGATGTGGAAAATGAATAGATGATCGTTGCATTGATTCCAAAATCTTGATCATACGCAAAGATTCGTCCTTCTTTCGGCACTACTTCGTAACCCTAACATAAAGAAAAAAGGTAAATAGATTTCAATAAAAATGTTATAGACTGTACAATAGTTGTGTCGATAGAAATGTTTAGATTATACGACGTGGATATTCGAAATTTCGGATCTAAGTTATCCACATCGATGAGATGTATTGAAACAATAGTTTGCGATGACAATGGTGGATTGCCGTTATCCTAGAGACAAGAAGTGATTCAAAATTTTCAAATCGAATTCGGTTACTTGTGCAACAATGATTAAATTAAAGTTTGGTACCATTGAATTATAATCAAGTGGTCGAACTAATATCAGACTAGCATTTGTTGAGCTTACCAATCGAAAATATGACTACGAACGAATAATCAATAAGCTTCAATGAAATTCAACGAAACGAATTCTCTTACCGCATATGACGAGAGATTATTCTGTAAAGAGTATGAAAATGTACCCGAGGCTCCCGAATCCGGATCGGTAGCTGTGATTGCGGTGGATACAATGGTGTTGACCGAAGTTGTTTCAGTTAGATTTATATGATAGATTGATTGAGAAAATGTCGGAGGATTATCATTAATATCGATGAGATCAAGTTGAAAGTCAATATCATGAATCGATCGATCGGATAAAACTATACATTCGACTATAAAACGAAAGGGATTGGGAAAACCATTCGATGTCCACCATTCATAATCCAAGGCTAAATGAAATATAATAGCATTGCTTCGCAATGTCAAATGATGTCAAAACTCACGAGAACGTAAATATAAATCAGTGAAATTTAAGGTAAAATAATCGGTTCCATTGGTTTTTACATCTGAACTATTATAAATCAGTCGTGTGGAGATTTCGGAGGGTGAACCAGTAATTTGTAAGCGAGCAACCAGATTTCCCGGTTGAGTATTTTCGGGCATTGTTATGATTTGAAGTGCAGGTAGAAATTGTAGTGTACATGGTTGACCTACGGAAATATTTTCATAAAGAAAAACATTTGACATTGATCATGTTTATCAATCTGATTAACGTATTAAAAGCGGTCCATTTGATTTCCTTCTTTCTTTTTTGTCTCTACTGTTTCCATCAGTCATTCTATATTCTGTCGGTTTGTTGATATACACTCAAAAGTTGTTCTCTTGCGAACAATAATCAATGAATAGTAATTAGCTGAACTCTCATGTTGACCGTTCGAACACGACACTTTCGAGTTGTTTGACCATGTTTAAGTAGGAGAAAAACTTACCTTGCGCGCGTGCGCTTAGAGCCATTAAGCAAAGCAGCAGCACAAGGCTGATTTCGTTGATGAGAAGTGTACTCATCGACCAGATGATGGATGACCATCAATCACAATAGCAGTCAATCTGAAAAAAACGACGAATTCTTTCAGATAAAAAATTCTTTTCACAAGAAATGTTCTTGAATTATTCAAATAGAAGAATACTTTAGATATTCTTTTAGTCGAAGGCAATCTTTTCACTTGAATATAAGCCATAATGGATGTAATGTTCTTACTCGATGAAATGTTTCTTTTGACTATTTCCATTCGTCTTCTCCTTCATTCTATTGTTTCAATTCGAACGTGCTTAGTAGTTCAGTCTGCCTTTCTTTTGTTTCTGTTATGTTCAGGTGATTACTATTCATTGATTATTGTTCGCAAGAGAACAACTTTTGAGTGTATATCAACAAACCGACAGAATATAGAATGACTGATGGAAACAGTAGAGACAAAAAAGAAAGAAG